CCCAGGGCCGCGGGCCTTGTGCCCTGGAGCCTGGCTGCAGCCTCTCCGGTTTGGCCACCTGCGCCTGCCCTTGGACGGGAGCAGGACAGCATCCGTGTGCACCAGGCTGCAACGCCCTGAGCAGGGGCTGGGCCCAGCCCCGCGGGAGTCACTGCGAGTCCAGCTCCAGCCCTAGGGTCAGGGCCTGAGCAGAGAGGGGACTGGGGATCGTCGCAAGGCCCCTCTGCCCCGTTCCCTCCGTCCCAGGGCCACTGTGGGTCAGCTCCCGGGCGAGCCAGCAGCCCCTCACGACACGCTCTGCGCAGCGCGCCCCACGCTCCCGGGCCACGACACACAACGGTTTCAATCTGCCACAGGTGCCACTGCACACGGCAGCCTGGCCCCTGACACGCCCGGCGCCCGGCCCCTGACACGCCTGTTGCCTGGCCCCTGACACGCCCGGCCCGACATGCCTGTCGCCCGGCCCCAACACGCGTGTTGCCTGGCCCCTGACACGCCTGCACACTGACACACCCGGCCCCCGGCCCGACATGCCCATGTTCAAACAGTACAGCAGCCCCTCCAAGCCAGGCTGCTGCTTTCTGCTACCCTGCTGGAATGGGGAGCAGCAGCACAAGGATGCTGTTGACCCAGCTGGCCAGGAGACAGGCCGACTGCAGCCACCTGCCCAGGGCTGGCACCAACTGCCCCAGGCCCTGCCTTAGCAGGAGGCTTCAGGGCGTCCGACAGGCACGTTCTTCGGGTCAGGTGTTTTCAGCCTTTTCTCGGGCTGGGGGCCCTTCGGCCTGGCTCCCCACAGCAGGCGAGGCCCATGGGGGGTAGAAGCAGCGAAGCCCCAATGGGTGACATGGACGTAAACACTGGACACTTCCCCTAGGAGCAAACCTGCCTGCGCCCAAGCCCCGCCCCAGGTACCCAAGCCCCGCCCCAGGTACCCAAGCCCCGCCCCTCCCGCTTTTAGCAACATGGGAGGGGCAGGGTGAGCTTGACCCCTTGCCACCCAACCTGAGTTTTACAGGAAGTGCCTAAGCAAGTTAGGTGCCTAATTCCCACAGGAGCCCACTGGCACCTAGGTGCCCAATTCCCATTGGCACCCACTGGCAGGAAGGTGTCTAATTCCCATTGGCACTCACTGGGAACTAGGCAGCTCTTTCCCATAGGAGCCCACGGGCACCCAGGTGCGGAAGGTGCTGAGCGCTGGGCACCGATCTGCGTCTTTGCACGTCAGTCCCCCAGCCTGCGCCCTGGGCACTCACCTAGGAGGAAGTCCACGTCCTTCGGGTCCAGCGCCAGGAGCTCTGTGCGATTCCACACGTACCGGGTGTGCTAGGGCGGGAGGAACAGCGGCTGTTACGCACCCTCCTCGCTGGGGGCAGGGACACGGACCCACGCGGACCAGTGGGGTGAGCACCCATCGGGGCAACTGCACCCCCAGACCGGCTGCTCTTCCCCCAGCCCTGCCCTCGTCCCACAAGGGTTACCGGCGATGCCGGTGCCCAGACGAGGGGCTCACGCCGGCTCCTTCTGCCCTTGGAATCCAAAACCCTGGGGATTTCCCAGATACGGCATCGCACGTACAGCTCATGTTCGCCAGGCACCCCAAACATGCGCCCCCCCCCCTTCCAGGCACCCCTAAAGCCCCCCTTGTCCGCCAGGCACCCCACAGTGCCCCCATGTCTACCAGGAGCCCCAAACACACACACCCCACCCATCAGGCACCCCTTGCACCCCACATCCGTCACGCCCC